ATTTTTTGTGACTTTTTTTTAAGTTGGACAACAGTTTAGAGTCGTAAACTATAATTAACATAAGTAACTACAGTTTGGTGTTCCTGTTTTCTTATCATGAAACTATCACTGTTAATTATAGTTTATGCTCGTGAATCGCGTAAATTTATTGTATTGTTAAGAAGAATAAACTATGAATTAATCTTGTTGATTATAGTTATACACCTCAAACTTTCGTTTACATTATGTCACAGTGGCGGATCCAGGATTCTTGAAAAAGGGGGGACCGATTGGGGGTCGGAATGGGGCCAAGGAGGCGAACCCCCCCCCCCCCAGCTCTCAGGTTTTAGAAGTTTTTGGAAAAATTTTTTGACTTATTTTAGCTTTATTTTTAGGTAAAATTAATGCAATACCCAACACCAAAAATTGATATTCTAATCTTGTGTATATTTTTGGACACAATCCGCCAGTGTGTCCTAAAATAAAACAATGCTGATCAAATACAGAATTATCCGTCTGGTTTGTGTATGTGATAATGAATTTGACATTATAAGAGGGGGGAGGGTTACAGTGAATGCAATCGAAAAACATCAGTTCAGAACACACAGAAAAGAAATGTGAATGAAGGTTGATAGACGGTGTCCTAGCTCATGTCAAGTCCATCTAAGTAGTATATAGTTTGCCCGTGGGTGTCTTCATTAGAAACATCACTGACCAGTTAATTATTATTTTATTGCTTATATGTGTACCGTAAGTAGCGTTACTGCTCTTTTCAATGACAATAGGTTGGTATTTGTGATTTATGGCTCAGTTCAATCTATTCATAGCGCAAAGAACCCTGATTAATTTTTTATAAGTTATTTTCAGCTAAAGTTTTATAATTAAATCCTAAATAACAAGACTCCGAAACGTCTTGTGTGGATGTGCCATGTACATCGGCATGTGTATAATATTTACTTAAGAGAGTGGGCTTTTTGCTATACGTCCAAAACACATTTATCTATATATACTATTATTTAAGATGACTGACTAAAAATACATGCACTCAAATGCAACTTGATCAACAGATAGCTATACATTATAAACTGTATTTTGGTCCACGGACCTTTTTATTTATAATTCTTTATCTTTCTAATCAAAAAGAAAAATACGTATATCCCTAGCAAAATCTAAAGGGGATCATTTTTCTACAGGGGTCATTTTTCTTCGCGTAGGATATGCAGATTTAAGGGTAATGCCACTTTTTCTACAGGCAAAACTGTCATTCTTCGACGTCGAATAATTTCGATGTCGAAAAATGACTCCTGGCCCCGAGGTTATAAAACTTTTTGGAGTTCAAATTTGTACTCAAACTCAAACTCCGTACTCCAAATTCATACTCGTACTCCAAAGTTGAGGTTATAATGAATTATTATACTCATACTCAAACTCCAACGGAGTACATACTCAAGATTTTTCAAGTATGCTTTGAAGCATTCTCAGAGTCGTACTCAAACAAGCAAACATGGATGCTCACAGACGACAATTTCGTCAACGACTTATGTTTCAGCAACACAGGCGTCCGCGACTATATTCAAAGACAGATCAAATCCTTTGGAAGATTTAGAAAAGGATGAAATTTATGATCGCTCTCGGTTTCGTCCACAGACGATTATATTCATCCTCGGTCTTCTCCCTTACTTGTCCCGGCCAACTTACTAACCCCATATGCAGCTGATACAGTTATATTGCTACACAAGTAAGGTAAGTTGACAATAGAAAAATCGAAGTCATCACGTTTATCACAAAGTGTTGTTGTTAGATTACCTTTAACGTCTTTTTCCAGTAGAATATCCAAAATGAAACAGATGTGTCAGACTCTGTGATATCTTTTATTTCAAGTTCACTTCGATAATATATATATCGAGTCGACATATGAATGGAAGTAACTATTATCAATTTATAATACGTCGTCCATATCACTAGATGTCGAATTGAAGACCACAGCAAGTGTTTTCTTCGTCTAATTTATAAGTTTTGAATAAATTCTGCTTCATATGAATACAAAAATAGATCTGCTAATGAAGGGGCGCAATTGACACCCATGGATATTCGTCAGATTGTTGGAAGGCCTAATCTCCAAAAACTACAAAGATATTGTCAATCAGAAACTATATCAACTTCAGGGTACTTGTGTGTACAATCAGAATGTTTTTAACAAAATAATTTTGCAAATGACCAATGAAAAGATGAGTGAATTTAGAAGAAGAAAAAACCCCACCAAATCTGTTCGAACAAATATATAAGTCGCTTAGTTGTCCAAGCAAACACCCAGTTCATCTGAACAATTTAAAAACAATTTAATCTACTTTCTTCAAAGTGTATTTAATTTGTCCGAATAGAGAACTTATTTGTCCACCAAAATATCTTGTTCATCTGAAAGTTAAATGTCTTTAATTAATAAAGTATCCAAATATGAAATAGATGAAAAAGAAAGATTAAGATAACAGTTTGTAAACAATAGCGAATTTGACGTACCTACTGTCCGATTTTTATCGTGTGCTGAAAACTAGGTGAAATATGAAGAAAATGACCAGAAATCAAGCTCAAATATCCATTGGAACATTGGAGAAGAGCAAACAAAGACCTTTATAAAACATCAAAGGTGGGATCAGGTGCCATGGAGGGGTAAGCACCCCCTGTCGACCGGTCACACCCGCTGTTGCTCCTTGTCATGATCGAGCAACGGAAAACTCCGTAGACAATTCAGTGAGAAAATTGTGGTCTAACAATTTGAATTTAAAAAAAAAGGCAGTCCACAATCGACTTAACGATAGATTGTACGAGTATAATTATGCTTACAAGTCATTGTATCGATCATAAAATTTGCGAAATGTTGACAAAATAAACCTGATGATATCCTTGTATTATCAACTTATTTGTCAGTAATTCGCCTCGCTTTAGAAATTGTTCGTAAGTAGAACAAGCTCTCGCGTATCGAATCGTATGAGAGACATAAACTCCATATGGTATATAATGGTATATTGCTACATAGATAAGGGATGTTGACGATAGAAAAGTTAAAGTCACGATTATCTTTTTTTTTTTTGGGGGGGGGGGGTGCCATTAGCATTTTTCTCCAGTAAAAAATAATAAATCTTAACACATGTAATGCTCTTTTATTACATTTTAATCGTGTGTTCTTCCAGTGTTCGTCAGAAAATGCAAGAGAACCAAACCTAGTCATCAATCACCTCTTTTAAACTTTGTATCACTCTGTTGGGATGGGGGTCATTTTCAACGGGGTCAATTTTTTTTATAGGTTGCATATGTAGAAAATTGAACCCCTAGGGTTCTTTTTCTACAAAAACTTACATTTTTCAACGGCTTGAAGGTCAGTTTTCAACGTCGAAAAATTTTTCGTTGTTACATACCGGTTTCTTAAAATCATAATTTTGACTCCGACTTTTGCTGTTATGTTGATTTTTTGAACAACGATTGTTTAACAACTCTTATTTAAAATGAAAAAAATGGCTTAATTTAAAATAGTACAAAACAACAATTTGTTTCGATAAGATTATAGAGACCAATTATGGGTCCTTGAGGGCATGAAGTATAAAGAATCACATAGAAATTACGTTCTATTTCCACTATGGAAGAGTTATACTTCTTCGTGCGCTCTTTTGTGAAAAAGTCGGAAAATGTACAAATCTCGCGGGATTTCTGGGACAAACGTAACATAAACATGTAAACAATATGTTGAATGTTGATGAACAAATCCTAACAAAATGCAAATGAAGTATTTTATTGTTGTGGACTTTATAAACATCAAGAGTAGGAATGACAACGATATCAATTAATATCTATTGTTGATCGTACGTATCTATTTATCGTATGGTACATCTAAATACAATACACATGCCTCGGAAATATTGTATTGTTTATTAATGGATGATAAATTTAGGGTTCTCGCTCTCTTACATATGTCTTTTAGTTCTTCTATTCTTTAATTGGAATGACAAATACATTTAACATTTAAAATTGGATTGAGATTGGCATATTTTGTATTATCCGCAACGCCATGCCGTCCCAGTCAGACGACCAAACGCGCCTCTAATTTTGAAGAGTTCACTAATGGAAATAAAACGTATTTAGACAAAACTCGGGGCGGAAGATTATAAATAGCAGATGGGGATTATTTGGAATAAATGACAAGAAGAAGATATCATAACATACAAAAATAAATTTGTGATATGCATGCATCTAATTAAAGCTATATATGGCGTATCTGAGCTAAAAAATAAAAATACGAGATTGAGTGTAGATAAACATGATACATGTTATTTACGTTCAAATTCAAATTTTCACCGATTTTGAACTTGAATAACCTCATGTTTCCTTAGTTAAATTGACTTTAAACTGTGTCTTTTATTTAATTGCGGAGTCGGTAAATACATTGGGTATTGTTTTAAATTTCAAATATCTTTGAAATGTGATTGATTTAAATTGTGTAATTTACAGGAAAGTCCTATCTTTATATAAAGTATTAAAACAAATAGAACTTTTTAATTTTAGTTAGTCCGGCTGAACTTATAAAAAATACGCCATATATGACTTTAATAGGATTGGAATCAAATTTTTTCAACTTACTAGTCCCTCTCCTTAATATAAAATATATTTTGTCATTTTTAAATATTGAGTGTATATATATATATATAGAGAGAGAGAGAGAGAGAGAGAGAGAGTATTTTTAGCATTTTTAAAAGCTGTTTTCACTTTTAAATAAAAGACATTCAACTGTTCAATCGGTGAATATAACAATTTAATATTTTTTGAAATTTTGTGACTTTTTATGTGAACAATTGATGGATGGAGAAAATAAGGTTCATGTATTCAATCATTATAACTTTCCTCCGGAGTGAAAACAAGCTCGGGTTGGACAGCGACTTTGTCATACTTTGATCCGCCGTGCATTGTCTGTTACGTCACTAGGGTAAAGTTTACTTATCCGGGCACCTTGCTGTAATTAGGAGGCGTGTAGTTTGTTTTGCTTGACTGAGGAGAAGAAGTCAATGAAATGACGATTTAATTCTCTTTAAATATTGCATACATATTGAAAAATTATACATAATGGTAAGTATGTCTTGTTTTACTTGAACAATTTTCGGTTGTAAGTCGACTTCTTGTACTGGTGTATGTCAAATAAACTTTGTAGTCGCGAGTCGTAAACAAGGGGGGAGTTGTTTATGATATGCTAGGGACATTAGTTATTGCACAATCTGACTGTGACCAACAAAATTGTGTTATAGTGAACTCGGATTGTTTAAATCAATTGATTTGATAACCTGCTTTTTAGCAATTAGCATTATAATTGAACTAAGGTTTTTTTCATTTATGTCGAATTTTCTCTGTTAGGCCAAAAATTAAAAAAAAAATAAAAAATGAAGATTAGCATGATTAGATATTTAAACTCTTAAATCGCTACTTTATCCTTGATTTCAGGTAATGTTAGTAACTTAGTTATTCTTTGCTGGCATTCACAATGACAAATTAATACACAAGTAAGAGGTTTTCTGATAATTGTACAAGTTACAACTGTACATGTGAACTGATCAAATTACGCAAATCCTTTGGCATGGAATTCCCCTTACTTTATTATAATCAGGACTGGTCAACTTATTGTTCAATCTTATCACATTATTAAAGAGAAATTCTTAGAAATAACAAGAAAACAACTTTCTGATGTTTTCTTTGAGATAATTTTTTTAAAATTGATACAAATTGAATTTTTAATATTTTTTTGTTAAGTACATTTTCTTCGTTTACATCATGAGTAACTTCTTTTAATTATTAGATTTCAACAAATTGAATAATATGTTGAGAACCAATTTTGCTTGGGAGTTATATGAGGTTAGGGAGGGGGAGATGCAGTGGGTGTAAATACTACAAGTTTTGTAATTTATTATTTTATATGTTTTATTGACAAATGTTTTAGAATCAAGCATTTTTGACATGACATGATGGGTCACTTACTTAGGAAAAGTTAGATTCAAGATGAGATATTTCTCAACAAAATTCTCTTTCTTTGATATTATTTTCTAAAAATAGGAATGCATGGGAATGGATTTGCACCATCAGATATGAGTAGAAATATTACAGTAAGGTAGCTGCAGATTATTAACTTGCTTGTCTGATAAAAAACTGGGATGGAAGTTCCTCCAGATTTTTTCAGACTAGGTATTGAAAGATCTGCAGCTTACCTTAGGAGAAGAGTGATTGCTGTCATGTAAGACTGATACAATGTATAACGTTATATATTTATTGGTCTGTATCATGGAATTTTGTATGATACATCAAATAAAAAAAATATTTCAGTATTTGAGTATTTTCTTAATAGAGTCGGTTTTGGGTGTCTTGTAAAGAACATAGGTGATGTTTATGATCCATAAAATGATTTGCTGGCATATTGTGACACATATAAACATTGTGAAGTAAACTCTCTAATAGGTTTTTTTCAAGTCTGAATAGATTAGAATTATTAAGAAGTCATTGAGGAGTGCAATATAACATAATAGCTGTAACTGCATAATTTATGCACATAATTACATGTTCTTTTGTGGTGTATCTGTTAATCCAGAGATGGATGAATGTGACAAAGTATTTCAATTTTGAAATTTTAAAGTGTTTGACATGTGTTAAAGAGCTGATTAATTCTTATATTTTATCATACCAGTATACTTTCTGTATCATTTTTATGAAGGGAAGATATGAAGTAATCATTTACCAAATTAAGTTAAAATATTCCAGTGCTGTTGTCAATATTTTAAATTTTATAGAACTTTTCGGCTTTTTTTATATTTTAGAAAACAGGATATTCTTCTTTGTCAAAATACACATATATTAAGGTGATGGATGTAGCATGTATAGTAAGATTTAATTGAGGTGAGGGTTTGTAATGGTAATGAGAATTGCATGACAAAAACTAGGAGGATAATCGTCAGCTGATGTCATTTGTGTTTTGAGGTGTTTACTGTGAAATCATTCATGTACGATTTATCATTAGGAGAGAAAAAAGATATTAAATCACATTAGGAATGTAGAGGAAAGACAGTTAACAGATTAGTCCCATTTCAACAATTGTTATGGTTACCATAGAGTCACAGTCCTATTTTTTATTGCTAATTTTTCTTTTTAAATTCCCATGTAATTTTTATGTATATATCCAGACTACTGACAACTGAATTAATGTAGTTAAACAGCTAAGAGGCTCTTGACATACTTTTGCAGACAAGAATTTCTATGCACTTTAGAAAAGAGGGGAAAATTGGGGGGATATTTATTTTTTTGCTTTAATGCATGAATTACGTATTTTTCCTCCGAGTGTTTAATTAAGGAATCACTGTCTAGTTAGTAGAGTATGCCAGGGTATCAACGATAGTTGGAAACGTGGGATTTCCATTTTCCATTTCATTGTGAAATAAAATTGGAAATTTAGATTTTAAAAATGTAGGCTAATAGATTTAAAGAATACGAGGCCTCACATGTCAATTTCAATAGTCCCGCCCACTGAGGTCAAACACAAAGACAGCTGCACAAGAATTACATGCATATTAGGCCTTCTTAGCTCCTGACCTTTCGCTTGGCGAAATTTACATTCCGGTAGAATGATCAAGAAATCAACTCAACTAACTTTCAAAGAGTTATCACAGAGAAAACAAATAGAAATGGAAATATTTAATTTTGTATTTTATGATTTTCCTTATTTTTTCCCCCTAGTTGTTTGCTGTTTGCAAAGATTTGTTAAGAAGAATTGCACGGTTTTCAAAGAAGGTATAGGAAAATAATTAGATTTAAGATGAATCTGACAAAATATTCAAGATTTTTTAAAATATTATTTATTGCACCATCAGATGATTGTTGGTATTGGGTAGGTAAGAGACTTAGCATGAATGCAAATGCATATAAATGAAAACTGTAGAATTAAAACTGGTGGTATGAAATATTCAATAGAACTTATATGTTTACTTATTACCATGGAAGCACTTAGAAGATTTCCTCTTTGATAAAAGCATTAGAATTAACCAAGTTGAATCAGCTGCAGCCTTACAATGATACACTCTGCGACTTAATGTACCTCATGAAGAGGCAACCACTTTGTTAAAAGGAGATTATGTAACACTATGCATTAAGATTATTTAACATTTTGTGAGCACTTGTAGTGTATGTATTTATAACACACCAGCTTCCCGTTGGAGAAATCTAGTTATAGATAAAGCAATATTAACCACAGTCTGGACCTTTGATCCTCGGGAGGGTAATTTGTATACAGGTACATACTGAAACTAACAGTGTAAGCTTTATAGGTATATATATACCTCATCATAAGGCTGTCGGTATTTTATCTGTGTGATTTTATTGACCAGTATTTTATATAGATAGTACAGATAATGAACTGTAGGGTACCCTAGTAAAGGTCGTTATTGAGATAGATGGGAGGAGAAGATACTGGGAGGTTTGTCAATTTTTTTTTTTAAAGTGAGCAGGAGAAGATGGGGGATAGATTTTCTGTGTTGTTTGACTAAGCAGGTGCTTGTGTGAGGTGATGTAGGACAATAGGGGTTAGACAACATAAAATGTTTTTATCTGTGTAATTTAGGTTATTTAAGATAATATTCTGATGTTGTCATGTTTCAGCTTGAATTAATTTGGAAAGGAGTGTAGTTTACAGTGATAAATCTTATTACCCATGCCTTGATTTGTTTAATAGAGGTGAATGTATCGTAAGTTTAATTAAGGCATACTCTACATTTTAAAATGTGGGTTATTGCTCATATTGAGCATTTGCAAGGTGTGATTAATTTTAACATTTTAGAAATTTTCATAAAAAACTATATAAGTTAACGTGTAATTATCACAAGAAAGATTTTAATGATTCAGTAGAGCATGTACTTGATAGTGCTTTGTTCATATTCAATCATATGTCTTTAATTCATATAAACATGTATACTGACATCTCATTGTTGAATAATATGTTGTTGGGAGTTTCCCACTGCCTATATATACTTGTATGGCTATAGGTATAAATTTGATCTATAAACTCATTTGGTTTTGGTTGTAAAATAAATATAAAAGTGCAAGCTAAGTTGGCATGAAGATGAATTAGTTTACAGATTGGGAAACCCAACCTCACACTGTCTGTAATTGAAAAGAATTCTGATTAAGGATTCTTTTAGGAAAAGTAAATATTTTACCTGAATATCTTGGTGCTTTTTTTTTCTGTTGTAGTGCTGACATCTTGCTATTTTCTATTGGTGCTTTTTTTTTCTGTTGTAGTGCTGACATCTTGCTATTTTCTATTGGTGCTTTTTTTTTCTGTTGTAGTGCTGACATCTTGCTATTTTCTATTGGTGCTTTTTTTGTTGTAGTGCTGACATCTTGCTATTTTCTATTGGTGCTTTTTCTGTTGTAGTGCTGACATCTTGCTATTTTCTCCATCACTGATTGAACACCACTGAAAGACTTTACCATAAAGGCAGTATATACACCACCAGAATGTCCGAAGAAACCACATCCACTCCAGAAACCTCAGTATCAGAACCAACAGCAACCACCACCACCACTCCTCCTGCAGACAGCACCCCACAACAAAGGAGGGCTGTCAAAAAACCTCCTGTAGGTAGGTAACCTAGACTTTTAACTGAAACCTCCCATAGGCAGGAAAACTGGATAATTATAAAAACCTCCCAGAGGTAGGTACATGTAAACTGAACAGTTACAAAAACCCATGATCTTAGGTAAGGAAACTGAACATGGACAAAAACCTCTCAGAGGTAGGTAAACTATCCAACTACAAACCTTTCAAGGGTAAGTAAACTGAACAGTTAAAAAAAACCTCCCTAGGCAGGCAACCTAGACCTTAACTGAAACCTCCCATAGGCAGGAAAACTGAATAATTACAAAAACTTCTCAGAGGTAGGTAAACTAACCATTTACAAACCTTTCATAGGTAAGTAAACTGAACAGTTACAAAAAACTCCCAGAGACAGGTACATGTAATTTGAACAGTTGCAAAAACCTATGATCTTAGGTAGGGAAACTAACCAACTAAAAACCTTCCAAGAGTAGGTAAACTGAACAGTTACAAAAACCACCTGTATGTTGGTAACCTACACTATAAGTATTACAAATTACATAAACCTCCCTCAGATTGTAAACTGAACAATGAAAGAAACATCCCATAGGTATTAAAGGGAAATAACAAAACCTTCCATGTAAATACAATAATTACAAAAATGTCCTAAAAGATAGGTAAACCAAACAATTCCAAAAACCTTCCATAGGAAGGTAAGCTAAACAATTACAAAAACTTCCCATAGGTATATATATATAGGTTAGCTGAACAATACTTGATATCATGATTAATTAACTTAGTGGAACTCTTTTGCAGTGGAGGTAGGAAACATTCGTTAGCTGGGGACAATGTGCTTCATCATTTATCATCATCATCATTTATTTGGTATCATATGTCATCATACATAAAACAAATACACATAAATGTACATAATCATTTGAAAGACTGTTGCATACACTGCGATATCTTTTAAAGGACTTGAAAGAAAAAAGTGTAACCTAGAGACAATTGCAAAAACCTTCCATGGGTATACAAGTATGTGGCAATTACAAAACTCATCCATAGTAACCGGCATTAAAGTAACACCCCATAGGTATCACTGTGTAACTTCAGTAATTACTAAAGCTTCCCATAGCCATAATATGTAAGTGACCCAAGCAAAACAAACAAAGTCTTTGTCATCCAGGCTATTACAAAAATTTACTGTAGGTTTGCAACAAGGATAGTTACTTAAATGTAAGTATATAAAGAGGACTAGACAATTTATTTTATAAAAAGTGAACCTTGGACTATCAACAAAAGAATCGTGATCTTGTGATAATTCTAAATAAGAAGAAAAACTTCCTGTAAAACAGGTGATTTGCATACACTGATTGTGTAATATATAAAACATATAAGTATTGCTGTGGGAGAATGTAGAGATTATCACTGTTGGAGGTGATTTGTATCAATATGACTACCTTTCTTCGATTGCATTCAGATACTGGAAGTATAAGTAAGTAAAACAATGATGTAGCTACTGTTTGTTACCTGAATGTGAATGTAATCCGAGCTCATGAAAGAGAAAGACAAGGAATTTGTAAGGCGGTGTATGAAATAAGTCTCTGGGGAGAGGACTTCCTGAGTTTGTTGAATTTGTGTCCAGCCCAGTGAGATATTGTCAGTGAAATACATGTATGTTCAAAACAAAGAAGTCTTTGTGTATATGGTATTAAGAAAATCTAGACTGTAAATTAATACGGCAATGAGGATTGTGAATTTTAAAGAAGATGAAAATTATTCCTGTATTTGACACAGTAATTGTACTTTTTCTTGATACAGATCCTAGGAATGACCCATTCAGATTTAAGGGTGAGGGTGTGGTGTACAATGCCAAACTGATAGGAGTGAGTGACGTCGCCGATGCCAGAGGGGACAGGATGTGTCAGGAAACCATTCTGGCCCAGAAAATGGCTGTAAAGGCTGCTGGTCAGCACAAACAGAGAATTATAATTAACATTTCAGAGGAGGGGATCAAACTCATTGACCTTAGAACAGCTGTGAGTACTAATGAATGTCACGTACAATACAGGCCACAATATACAAGAACTAGGTCTTACTTTCCAGGAATCAGAAATTTTTTATAATTTCTTTGTTGTAAGGGCTAATTCATTGGCAAAATGTACACAAAAATGAGGCATGATTACTTCAAAAAAATTATTCAGCTTTTTTTTTTTTTTTTTATGATTCTTAGTTTTAAGGAAACGGAAATGATTTGTTTACATACTGTGGTTTCATTAGATTTTTTTTTGTTTGGAAGGGGGGATCAAATTACATGGTTTAGGGAAAAAATCAATTTCAATGATGTGTAAATTTATGGAGAGCATTAGCTATCTCATTCTACCATTATAAAAATTTCTAGTTCTATCATCAGATAATTCAATGGTCTTTCTCATCTCTCAAGTACAATAACAGCGAAAATTGTGTTTAACAAAAAATGATAAACCAAATACACGTATTGGTATATACAACCTAAATTTCCATTAGTAATGATACAAATTTACGTTTTCCTTATATACATGTATACATTACTTCATCCATCGACATTGTATTTCAGACATTATTGCACCATCATCCTGTTCATAAGATCTCCTTCATTTCACGGGACGTGAGTGACAGACGAGCATTTGGATATATATACGGGACTGAGGATAGAACTCATAAATTCTTTGGAATCAAAACAGAAAAAGCGGTATGTGTTGCAGATTCTTTTCCATGATATCAAGTATTGAAACTGTCTTGTATTGGAGCAATTATTCTACAATTTGAAGAAGAGTTTACTTGGATTTTCTGTAAATACTGAATTTTGTGAAATCGATAAAAATATTGTAGGCAGAAAATGTGGTATTGACTCTGAGAGACCTCTTCCAAGTGGTGTATGAAAACAAGAAAAAAGAGATGGAGGTGGCTAAACAGCAACAGACAGATGACAAACCAAAAGAAGAAGCACCAAAGAATGGTAGGTTAATTTAATACAATCAGTCACCCAAAGGAACTAGGAAAGAGCTTAAGCTTAAGCACTGTCGTCCTGGGTTAAAGTTTTTGGGTCAGACCCAATTCCAAATAAGCTTAATGTATCAGCTTTATCTTGACTAAATTTACATGATATATCACATACAGGGAAAACTACCAGACTTGCTAAGAGTTGCTGCATTTGAGCAACATTGGACAAGTTAAAGTGTTTTGATCAAGTCGGTTCCTGAGTAGCTACATGTTTAAGTCTTGGGTTAATTTGATTTTGTGTTACGTTTTAAGATACAGACTTCATTGTTTTGAATGCTGTGTCCAGCCTATACTTTCCAGAAGAGTGGTCGGGTTAATATTTATTATTGTATGGGGCAAACTTGCATTAATGATGCATATAAGGATTTGAACCACCAAAATTGTTTTGATTGCTTTAGGTGACCTACATATTTTAGCTGAGTGGCAAACTTATAGCTAACGGAGGTGGTTCATTCCTTTGTGTTTATGAATATTACTTAGACCAAACTTGTATTGGTGACCCAAGTATGATTTTAGTGCCTGCTCTAAATTTTTAAGGGACATGAATTTAGTGTACAAGTTGTATGACAACAACCAATGCATCTTCTAGAACAGTGATTTGATTTACCACAGTCATAGATAAAACTTACATACAGAAGAAAGCTCTTTAATCTTTCACTCACATGAAACTTAATTCTATGAAATTCATGTTTTTTTGTGTCTCATGAATATTTATATCATTGTTAATCAGTCATTTTGTGGAATTTAGTTAGAAGAATAAATAATTATTCATGTAATGTATAAAATTAATATTTATTTCCAAGAATTTATTGTCTCATCTATTATTGTTAATTTTGTAAGAGGAAGTGGAGAGAGAAGAGGTGTTGATTTAAAATATTACCTTCATTCTGTAGTTCACCATTGTTTGGTAGACATATGTATATTTTTTTATGCCCCCGCCATAAAGTGGCCAAGGCATATAGTGTTACTCTGTTCCATCATTCTGTTATTCCATCATTCTGTCATTCCGTCATCATTCACTTTCCGTTCATTATCTCTGCAACAGTTGCACACATTCAACTCAAATTTAACATATGGATATGTCATAGGAATACCCAGGTTAAATTTGGTCATGGTCCAATGATTTTTGACAGAGTTATCCCTCTTGAACTTAGAAAAAATAAGAAATTTTCAGTTTCCGCTCTCTAACTTTTGTAGGGATGTATGTGTAAGGTTAAAATTGCATATGCAGGTATTTTACCAGAAAATACAGGTCAAGTTTGAATACAAATTTAAAACTAAATATGGAATTTGAAATTTTGGCTGCCTGCGGGGGCATTCGCGGCGTTACGACACATCTAGTTTTAAAATATTAAGATATTGAGCCACTTGAATATTTTTTTTTATTCCTGCAGTTGTACAACTTGGTGGTGATTTAACCACAGAGTCCTCAACAGATGATGAACCAGACTCAAAGGTAAACCTTCTCACAGATATGTTTCCAAAATCAATTGATATGTACATTCAATTATATGTGTAGAGCATCAAAGGATTGTTTTAAAAGGTTACACAATCATGGTTGATTAATGCTTTAATTTTGTTAAATTTACTAGTACATGTAAATATCGGTAGTGCATGACCTAAGTGTTAGATTTACATGGCTACAATGTAAAATTATTAACATGAAATCACTAGGACAACCTTGGTGAGCATGAGATAGATGAGCCTATTTATGAAGTAAGTTTTGTTCTAATAGATATAGATGCTATATTAATTTCTTAAAACTAAATTTTCTGAATCTGAGTGTGATTGGCTTTAGTCCTGATATCTATCCTTTTTTCTGATATTGGCTTCTAACACAAAAAATATCCTTAATTTAGAACAAGGCTCTGAATGACAAATTGGTCTGACTTGTCTCCAAAGGTTCAAATCTTTTACCAAAACAGTTCAATTTGAAACCTTTTTAGTTGTATTTTTAAATCTTGTCTTATAATCATACCCCCTCCAAACTGAGTTTGGGGGTTTGAAGGAATCACACTTATCCATCTGTCTGTCTATCTGTCTTTGCAATTGTGTCCAGGCTATATCATTTTAATGGTGAAACTTTGGAAGCTTATACTTGGTACAAAGATTATTCATGACCTGGAGGTGTCTTGACCTTGACCTCATTCTGGCAAATTCAAGGTTACATTTAGAAAATTGTAAAAGGCACTTTTAAAAAATGCAGCAGGGGGTATACTTTTGTGAGCTTGTTTACAGTAGCTCTAGTTTTTCCTAGCTAGTCATAAGGACGAAGAAGTTTGATTACCATGTACATTAGCTTTTTGCTTAAAAATTTGCTTAATTGCTTAAAAATTTTTACAGCGAAGTTATTTTATCCTTAGTTCTTTTTATAAGTTCAGATTTGTTTGGTAAAAACAAGTACTGGTAAAAGCTATTTTTTTTAGTTAATTTATAACACATCCAATGGAGGCAAATTGCACCACAAATTCATTTTGAGTATTGGTACTTGTATGTGTTATCTGATTCACCTGTTTGAGTGTTTTGAATTTTTTTTTACTCATAGTTGTTGGAAGCCTAAAATGAATTGACCACAAGGTGTTGTTTACAAAACAATGAAAACTTCCCATATTATTAATCACAATTACATATGCGATATTTCCCATTAACACTTATATTGGTTCAGAGAGCATTAACAGTCAGACTAAAATGACACTTCATTGAAAACTAACAGTTCTGACTGAAATTCTACCTCTATACTTATAAAACACAGTCTCTGATTATACCTGTATCCTGATACTAATTATGGAATTAATGATAAAATTAACATTTAGTAAAATCAGATACCTTCATTCATAATTACAAAAGGAAAATTGTCAGTAAATTGATTTAGACACCAAAGAGGAAAATGAAAAATATTTCCTGGATCATGTTTAAACATGTTTTATCTGTTGATATTTGTCAGGTTCCGCCTAACAATGCTCCCGTGGAAAAAGAACCCACAGATTTGTCTGCTCTGCAGACAGAGTTAGTCAGCATTGCACAGGTAATAAAAATTATATTGAAATAGGAAAAGTATGATGATTACATATTGACACTTATTATTATTATTAGGTAAGTTTGTGCAGATATTGTAAATCACTATTCTGAGTTATTTAATAATTAAAATATTAATTTGAACGTAAACAAGGGAAAAAATAATGTTGCTTTTGAGATCAGGCTCCGGGGCCATAAAAATTAGACGAGCTCACTTTTGATCTCAGTCTCACTTTTACTGAAGGAATGTATAAGGGAAAAGTGAGATTGAGAACAAAAGTGAGCTCATCTAAGTTTTATTGCCGCGGAGCCTGGTTTTGTTGCAACTAAGATATTTTAGTGGTTTCTTCACTGTCCTCTACTATTGTTCTTACTGACAAATGAATCTTGAATGTCTTATAGGGAATAAAACAAATAGACAAGATGGAGTCATTATTTGATGATATTCAGACACCGCCCGCTCCTGCTGCCACATCTTCTGATCCATGGGGAACGTCAGCAGCTCCAGCTGAACAAACCAATCAGAGCAAGTCTGCCAGTTCTGACCTTGATGAACTTAATCTCTTCAGCAGTGAACCTGCCCCAGCTAAGAAGAAAGATGATATCATGAGTCTGTTTGGTCCAAGTGCTCAGGGTTTTGGCAGTCCTCAGCCAGGATTTGGTGGTCCTCAGCAAGGGTTTGGTGGCCCGCAGCAAGGATTTGGTGGTCCTCAACAAGGGTTTGGTGCTCCTCAACAAGGTTTTGGTGGCAATCAACAACAGCAAGGTTTTGGAGCATTTGGACAGCCAGCAACACCATTTCCACCAACCAGCCAGGCAAACCCATTTGCTGCTCAGCAAGGGGTACTTATTTGTCTTATCTTATGTTTACGTGAACCCATGTCATGTACATGTAATTGTAAATTATGTATGAATTGTACTTGTATTCTTTATTTCATGTAGGGAGGATTTGGTGGACTTGCTCCACCACCAGTTCCACAAAGGCAACAACAACCAATGAGCAGTCCATGGGGAGGACAACAACAGCCACATGTATCTCAGCAGCAGAACTTCTCCTTGTTTGACGAACCTGTTCTAGCTCCAACCAAGGTGGAAGATCCATTTGCCGCTCCAGTAACAACTGCCTCTCAACCAAAGGATGCATTCGCTGACCTATGTAGCATTGGATCTACAACGACAAATAAGACTCCAAAAGACTTATTTGCAGAGCGTAATGCTCCTCCAAAAAAATCTATCAATGAGATGATGCAAAAACCCACTCCAAATCCTCAGCAGGCAAGTGATCCATTTGGCAATGTTGAGGACTCAAGTCTTCCAGCTGCTGAATTCTCCCCATTCACTAGTAAATTGTCTGACCCATTTGATACATCTTTCCTCAAGTCTTCCCCTGCTTTACACATACAGACCACTAGTGCTTCAAATGTGTCTGCTTTTAGCAAAAGTACAGAGGAACTGACTCTGAATCAGAATTACTTTGATAATTCTGATGACTTTGATTTACCTTCTCCACAAGGACCTCCCCCTCCCTTACCAAATGACCCCCCTCCTCCTGCTCCCCCACCCAGACCAATTTCTTCTCATACAGGAAATCAGCTTCCCTCCCTGCCTGTTCCTCCACCAAGAAACTCAGAAAATGTGCCAAAAACCGTGTCGCTTTCATCCAATTCACAAATCATGAATGGTAATACTCCAGTTCCACGGCCAAGACCAAGGTCACATGTCGCATCATCTATGCCAACTCCACTCCCCAGAAATAATGCGTCCTCACAGGAAGCACCACCAAAAGAACAAAGCACCAAAGATTCACACTCGGATTCTTTCAGCAGCTTCACAATTGAGGATCCCTTTACAACAAATGACCCCTTTGCAGACACAGATCCTTTCAATTCAGATGGATTTGGGTCTTCTGCTTTTGACATTTTGAATTGTAGTGACCCCTTTGCGTCATTTTCTAGTCCAGTTAAACACAATTTAACCACTAAAAATGGAGACTTTGTAAGTGATGCAAGAAATGATCCCTTTTCAGCATTTGATAGCTCATTTGGAGACTCGTTTAATTGTAAGAGTGGTAGTTTAAAGAAAAAGAGTCATCGAAAATCTAGCGGTGGTAAAAATATGGTAAGTATTAAAGTTAGACAGGTGTGGAGTTTGCTGTGTCTAATTTATTAATGCTAACTCAATACTGAACTGGAAAGTATCAAAAATTCAATGTTGTTGAACAATGATTTTGTTCTGATCTAAGCTGAGCTTAGAATTTTATTAATAGAACACATGCTAAAATGAAGTGCAGTCTACTGTGGAATCATTAGATTTTGTGATGGCTCAATTTTTGTGGAATCTGTGGGTACCTCTCATCCATGAATTTACATCCTCCACGAATTAATAAACTAGAGGTACATGGTCCTATTTCCTTCTGTAGGTATAAGAGAATGGACAAATTACGTCCCCACAAACCTGTAAAATTTACGCAATCCACAAAAATTGGCTTCCACAAGTTTTAATGATTCCACAGTATGTTTATTGATACACCTTTTTACCAAGCTGAATTTTTGTTTTCCAAGTTTGGCGCGTGGCATTTTGAAAGAACTGGAAATTTTTGATACTCTTATTTTATAGTGTTGCAGGTTTCTGTTTACTAACATTTCGTTTTCTTTCTATGATATCCTTTTCATTCTCTGACATTTTAAGCAATTTTAAAATTGATACGTTGCTTGATACAGGATTTCTTTTATTGGAAGGCAATGCAAGTTAATGTAGCAACGAGAGTATGAAAATGTTTTGTTTTAGACTAATAGACATTGCTTTGCATGATAAATAGAATTCCAATAAAAAGTTTAAAAAAAAATTTTTTGGACCTAAATGTTTTATTGTTTTAAATACACCTCTGAGATTTAATTGTAGTAGAGGTAATGTGCGGAAGGTAGGATCATTATATCATAAATTAGCACTTAATGTGCAAATGTTAAACCTCCTGCAAATAACTTCGGGGGTATACTGGAATCCTGTTTGTCTTTCAGTGGGTATTTTTTGTTTGCATATTTTCTCTTAAATTATTTTTTTTTAATTATTATTAAGCTTTATAGAAATAATATAGAAATGATTATTATTTTGTAGAAATGATATAGAAATAATATACACCACTGAAACATGTGCACCTGATATTTTCAGATTGATTTGTTGAAATTTTTAAAATGTTAAGTTTCATTGTACCAAACTTCTCTGATAGAAATAAAAGTAAAATTCTTTTCATGACATACGTTTAAAACTTTTGAAACTCATACTTAATACAAAGGTTGCTTGTGACCTGCTGTGCATCTTGACCCTGAACCAAGGTCAGTTGGATGATCAGAAAGCACAAAAGTATTTTTTTTAACCACAACTTTTTCAAAGTTTAAGCTTGAGGGTAATTTAGACAGAGTCACATATTTCAGAAGTAGAAATTTTTTGCTTTAGCCATACCTTTTTAGAAGAGAAACATAACTAGCCACAAAGATTGCTTGCATCTAGTGGGTGTTTAAAAACTTTGTTTCATGGAAACTTGGATAAGATTAAGAAATTCATGTCCATATTATAATTCTGTAATCTAGAAAAATTTAAAAAATCAAACTTGACCTGTCTCGAGGGTTAAAAATGATTGTAGGATATTGACCCTGAAAAAAAAGACAGTGTCAAGGTCACAAAATTAAGATTTGTCAAATTCTGAAAGAAATGTAAATATCTTCAAAACAAACTTTGTAATGGAGGGGCATTAGGAAGATGATTTTCTTCTCAGCATGATTTATAACCATGATTGTTTGGATAAGGTCAAGGTTACTTGGCTCTGAAATTAGATGTGCTTTAATTCTGGGACTGTGAAGGATCATACTTCCATCACCTTCCCTCATCTATCCTCTTAGTGACAGCTGGCACATAATGCCCCTAAAATTTTCATACTTGACAGAAAAATTACTCACAGGCCAGAGGTGTTTAAACAAATTGCAATTCAACAAAATTCAGGCTATTGGAATTTAGTCATTTATAGTATATTTAAGAGTTCCAATGTGGCTGTAGTTTAAGTCCCATTAGAAAATTAACTATATTCTGATTTCTATTCATTATAACAACTTGAATTGTAAGCTTACTGCCTGCACCTGCCTTAAACCCTTTTTCTGTTCCTTTGTCACGTGTATGCACTCTTCATTAATAATTGTACAGTTACTAAGCTATACTGTTATAAAAAAAAACATTTACTATTTAATTAGAGACTATATTTAAATGCACATAACAGATTTTCAGATAAAACATTATTCTTTGATTGATTTTTCTTTCTTAAACCTAATGTTTATTGTCATGTATTTAACTGTTTACAATATACGGTAAAATAAGACGAGCTGGTTTACTTTTGCAGCCTGTGTCCGACCCCAATGATCCCTTTGGACTTTTGGTCGCATCAAAACCAGTCCAGAATGGTTCGGTAAGTATTTTCTAGTCTTCGTTGATCTTAAGCTGTGAATGATATTGCTTCATGATTTACAGTGTATTATTTATAAATTTTTTTAATGTTCACAAAATAGTGAAGTTTGATAAGCATACCATGTAATGTAGACTTTTGATTATATAATGTCTCTAAACATTAAATATAGACAGTCTAATCATACACAGCCTATGTACTCTTATAGGCTATACATGTAACAGATAGACTGTGTGTCTACATAAAGCCTATGTACTTTTATATTTACACTATATGACTGCTTACAGCCTGTGTACTTTTATATTAACATTTAACAGATAGACTGTGTGACTGCATACAGCTTAATATGTGCTTGCTTAAATGTGCATATATATATCAGACAAGCTTTTTGATCATATACAGTCAATGTACTAATAAGTAGAAACAGACTATTTTATTGTATACAGCCTGTATATTTATAAATATTTATTTAACCTCTACTGATTTTCCCTATATAAAATCATTAAATGTGAATAATTCCCTAGAAATCGCTGTGAATGGACAAATGCCCATTTTGCCATGCTTTAGTCAAATGAGCTATTAATCCCTGCTTCGAAATTTATGTCGGTATCATTGTGAATGGACTTGTGCCTGTTTTGCCATGCGTTAGTCAAGTGCTTCGATATTTGTATTGGTATAATAAAATAATTTAAATTATATCATAGGGAGTTAGCAAGATTCCAGTTCCCCTCAACCAGGACTATTTCCCTCAGCTTCACCTCAGGAAATAGTCCTCTCCTTGGGGAACTGGAATCTTTGTTAACTCCCTAAATGATAATTATGTATAATAACAGATGGACTATTTGACATACTCAACCTATTCACTTAGATATTCCTGTATAACAGATGACTGATCAGTATATGATATATACTGCTTAGTAACTAGATACACACACACTTGTAATTGATACTACAGTATTGTACTCTTAATGTTTGAAACGGTGTGTATGGACATATGACCATGAGGATTTTAAATATCAAAGAAAAGAAAATTAAGAAAGACATGAAATGATAATATGAACTTTTATTTTGCAGTAAAAGGGTTTTAAACTTGATTTTGTGCAGGAGCCAGTGTATGCCACTGTTAACAAGATAAAGTAATGATAAAGGACAACAACAAGTCTACAAACCAGCTGTGATGATGTAAACACCGTTAATGTGACCTTCTTACTCATAACATGCTTCTTTTGAATAAATTCACATGTTTAAAGGTGTTAGATATTGGGAGATTTTTTTTATTGTGACTTTTGAAACAGAATGTTATTGCTGCTGTGTGATTTAAAAGTGTCTTATTACACATACTCAGCTATTTTTTAGCTTTCCTCATTTTGTTTTGTTTTCAAAATAGCTTTGTTTTGTTAGAAAATATAAATTTTACATTTATATTAGGTTTTAGTTTTAAGCAAGAAGGTGGCATGGAAAATAGCTCTGTATTTACATGTGGAAAATTAATTCACCTTTCAAACATTGTTGTATTTATTTTGGAAAAAGAAATAATGCTTCTGAAATTTACGACATGTATTTATAACAATAGTCAGACCTCTGAATATTCTCTAATACTTGATATGGATTTGTCATATTCTGGATTATATTGTGTGTGATTTTTTCTTTTCTTTTTTTTGATTTTTGCAAGTCTTCCTTGACAGTTAAAGTATCACTGTATTGAGATAATGACAGACTCTAGATGCTTTGTTCCTGTTCACTCCATTAATGCCTCTTATGAAACACACAGGATATTTATAACCTTATATAATTCTCATTAGAAGTTTTAAAAAAAAAGATTTTTGACCACACTGATCCCAGAATTTTGAAACCGGTTTTGAAACTGTGATAAGTATTTTCTGCATTCTTCATGGAAATATGTAGGTTGTATTTTTCAACTTTGATTTCAAATTATCAGTATTTTATCAACTATGCATTATGAACATTATATACAGGTTGATTTTTTTTTTCAACATTTTCTTGGAAACAATCCTATTTTTGTCTTCCACCACTATAAGTGACCACCAGATGAATACAAACTAATAATACTGTAAAGAAAATACTCTTTAGTGCTGTAAAAATACATATTTGTTCAAGAATAAGTGCAATAAAGTAGTGAAGTAGATTATTAATTAAATATTTATAATTATATGCACATATAGCTGTTTTATTTGTGTGGATTGTTAACAGGGTTTGTTAGCAAGCTCTGAGATTGATTTCAGTTACAGTGCAATAATAAAATATCTACATATTGTTGTCATCTAACGAAAACACGCCTTACAATAAAATGTATAAGAGAGATGGTGTTATTTTTTATTTTGAAGCTATACATTGTATGCCTGATTAAATCTGTGAAGTGATATATAGGGAATTGTCTGAAGGAGAACTCTAAGGGGCATAACCCTTGAAAAGCAATTTAGCTGCAAAGCACCACCAATGCCAATATTCCACCCTCCTATGCAATGATTTTTTTTTTGGGGGGGGGGGGGGGGGGATATGTATACTGCAATCATGTAGACTATATGCAGACAAGGGAGAGAACAGCATTTAGATTACTGTCTTGCCTCAAGGGGCATCCAACCCAAACTTGCAGATGTGCATCCAGTAGAACATGCTTCAAATGTGCCTCTTCAGGAGTCTCAGTCCTGATTCAATGTGGGGCATGTGTTCAATCATGACCACCGATGGTAGGATGGGACCACAAAGAACAATCGATGTTTTACGTAGGAATATATAGGATAATCTTTAAAAAGCTTTTCAAGAATGGCAGTCATGAATAGTCACAGTTATATGGAAACATCCTCAGGTAGTGTAGATTCAAATTTGTTCAATTCACGACCCCCTGGGGTAGGATGGGACAACAATATGTGAACAAATTTTACTCAAGAATATTTAAGAAAAAGAACGATGATGATGGGTCATAGTTGCTTAGGTTAGTGTTGTGATCTGTGGGCCTCTTTTGTACTGTCTACTTGTGTACCAGGTCTTTTATTGAAATTGGACCAAAACTGAGAGTAGGGTTTTATAAGAAAATTAATAGTAACCATGGCAACACCATTTGTCAAGCTCAAAAACCAATATACAGACATGTAATGTATCTAAGTATTGGATCAAAAGTATAGGAGTTGCACTTTGAAAGAATTGCAAAGAGTAAGTAAAAAGTAAAATTTATTTCAAGTCGGCATTGTGTACATTAATAACAATTTATTTTTTTTTGTAACCATGGCAATGCTGTTTATCAGAATCAAAAACTTATCCATAGAACTATGTATCTTAGTATAGTGTACTTGTGTACCAATTGGACCAAAACTGTATGTAGGAGGAGTAGCATTTTGAAATGTTGTTCACAGACAGACTGACACACACTTTACTATTACACTAATGCATAAGCTAATTTATTGAACCATGTCCATTTTTTTCCTAAACAGCATCTACCATGAAAAAGTTTTGTGCCATCTGCCTATGGTGAAATAGTCATCAAAAGTGAACTACAACCAGGAAGTAAATATTAAGTGATCTTTTCTTTTAAACATTTGTCTGCCTTCTTCCTCTTCCAGTAGCAGTCAATTTTTCTCACACTTCATCTTGGAACTTTTTTTTTTAATTTTTATCCAGATTGTGACGTAAAATAGTCTGACACAACCAAAGTCTGCTTTGGTACAATAAATCACCTAATTACTGGCCAACAACAATAGCAAGTTTATTGTCTTCCTCGATGGCAACCACTTCCCAATCCGCAATCGAGCAACATAGTTGTTGTCTCAGGGACAATAAACTTACTGTTGACCTCTTAGCCAGTAAATAGGTGTATATCGTCTCTGACCATTTGGGATAAAAACTACTAAACTGAAAATGAAATGTGCAAATTTTCATGATGTACCATCAACTCATTTCTCTATCACATGGGTCAAGCTCAGAACAATAAAAGAGGAATAACAAGAACACAGATTTATTAAAACCCCACTTTTATTCACTTTTCATGAATAAATTATACTTAACAACAGACATTAGTTCTTTTGCAAGGAGATAAAAAGAATGGAAATGCACCCTTTGATTTTTGCTTATTTAAGTAAAGCTATCTGCTGAAAATGAAAACAATAAATAATGTCCCCAAAGTAGAAAACTATATTCCATCTAACATCAACATTCAGTTCACAAACATCCATCCTCAGGTATACACACACACATTTAAACACATTTACACTTCAACAGTTACTCATTCACAATTTCATGAATGGCTCATCATGATTAATGGAATTGTGTAGTGAGCAATGAAGAGGTAAGAATGAATGGTCTTCCTACACACTGCAAAATGTCTTTAAGATCTAATTCAATTGGTTTATTATAATTCATCTTTAACTTTATCCTCTTCATCCTGAATAAAAAGAAAAGATAATATAAATAAATATTTCTTAAACACTTTTTTGTCTTTTTTCTAAATGAGTCCCTCATCAACTTTTAAGCTATGTAATAATTTTTCTGGGTGGTATACCCTTTTTTTCATTGTGGAGATAAGATATTTTTCTGGATGGTGTCCTTTTTTTCTTTACAGAAATAACAACTTACCTTATCCTCCTCCTCTTCCTCATCATCTTCACCCTCATCATCATCTTTCTTGTTCTTTTCTGGAAAAGAAAGAAGCAGGGGTGTGATTTTTCAAAAAATGCTGATTGCAAGGAAATCATTAGTGTTCACTCATATGAAATTTTGCTTTAACAAGATCTTTTTCTTTCTAAATAAAATTTGAACAATTTCAGTGCACCTTGCATGACAAAATTTGAGAAGTGTGGCCTTGTAAAGATTTTATTAAGGAATAACATGATCTCCATTTATCCCAGAGGGAGTTACCTCTCTTATCAGAGGAACAACTTTAACCAGGAAGTAAATAAGAGATCTTTTCTTTAAACATTTATCTACCTTCTTCCTCTTTCCTCTTCTTCTCTTCCTCCTCCCTCTGCTTTCTCTCTTCTTCATCCTGTCCATCCTTCATTTTCTTTTCTGGATCTTTGGTTTCTCCCCATGTTTCTTTTCCAACTTTTTCAGCATATTTTTCATCATCAGTAACCAGGATGTTATCAAAAATTGTACCAGATTTCACCTGTAATTAAGTCAGAAACATCTTAACAATGTCAAGTACACAAAAAAGGGAAAAAATTAAATAAAGATGGCAATTTTCAATTTTATTTTACTTTTCTGCATTATAACACCCTCACCTGCCAAAGATCGAATCCTACTGCTCCAATATCATCATATTTGTAAAGGTTAGTGTCAGGAGTGTATTCTGGGTTATCAATTTCTGGGTGGACCCATTTGCCTTTGTAATCAGGGTTATCAATTTGCTTGGGTTTCCATTCTCCCTGCATAATGAGAGGCACAAAATTATTGCCTTGTGTCATAATGACATCAGACAAACATCTGTCAACAGGATTATATGTTAAATTCAACATTCTGAGAAATGCCTATAAACCTTGTAGTCTGGGTTATCAATCTGTGGGGGTTCCCATTCTCCATCCATCTCATCATCCCAATCGTCAGGTTTCTTAGCATCTGGGTCAGGAATGTGTTCGGGCTTGTCCCAGTCTTCTGGTTTCTTATCATCAGGGTCATCAATCTTCTCCCTCTCATCCCAGTCATCGGGTTTCTTGGCCTCTGGGTCCTAAAATAAAGGTTTTTTTCTATTATTAATCCAAAACTTTATATCCTTTTAATATTTTTTAAGCTATATAGTATTATTTTCTGTGATACCTTGATCTTTTTTGGTGGCAGGAAGTCCCAGTCTTCCTCCAGCTGTCCACTCTCTACCTTCTCATTGTCAATCTTCACCACGTAGCTGTTATCTGGGTTGATGACAAGAGTGTACAGGTGAGTGAAAACATCATCCTTACAACGGATTTCTTTCTTGCAAAGCAAGTTCTTTCCTTTGTAGTTGAAAATGACATGGACTTTTTTGGTGCCTGGTCCACAAATATCAGGTCCTGCAAAGAAAAATAATAATTAAATAAATGGCATTTATAATATAATATTAAACATGTTTATCTTGTGAAATATGTTGAAATCTTACCAAACATAATGAAATATGGAGAATCTCCATGTAGGTTTTTCTGGTCCAGATCTTTGGGGTAAAGTTTAATGTATCCACCACCACAGTCAATGTTCTGCTCATGCTTTACTGTGAACTGGATGACCAGAGGTTTTCCTTCATTGCTAAATGGTTTCTCCAACTTAGAAGAAATTCCATAGAACTTAGCATCCTGAGAGGTTTGGATTCCTTTAAGAAGAAAATAGTTAAGATTAATTTCTCATTTAGAAATTCAAGTCTCATACCTGCCAGGCATCTTGTAAAGTGACATAAAAACTGACAGAATAATTAACAAGCATAATTAGCATATATACATCAACAGTTGTTCTTTTGTTGCCTTGAGTAAATTTCACTACTAAATCATTTGATACTATCTATAAACATACCCTTATCTTTCTCAGAATCTCCATAGAATTTGCCTGCAGACCAGACAAATTTACCCTGGTCAGCTCCTTTGTACGTAGACTCCGTCCATCTGTCTTTCCAACTTTCTGCAAAATGAAATTTAATTACGTGTCATATGCAGTATTTTACCTGATTTTCTATTCGAAGCTTTAAAGAAATATCCAACTTCTACGATTTGTGCATATTAAAATATTTTTCACATAATAAATTACTCATATATTCTACATTAAAAGTCGTGACCAAATCTTGACCCATGTACCATCGATGTCCATGTCATAAAATGTCCTGCAAGATTATCTAAACTACACGTTTCATATTGACTTTTGCTTAAGTCTAAGAATTCAAGATTTTACATAAAATATTTCATGACTATGCTATAAATTAGTGCAAAACGTAATACTCATACTACCACTAAATAAATTGACAAGTAGACAGATCCACTTTCATGTGAGAATAGCACCGAAAAAAGTATTACATACCTGAATCAAACTCTTCCCTGAAATATTCAGTTGGTTCTGACAGAGCAACTCCCACAAAAAGGAGCAAACAAACACACGTTTTCATCTTGGACGTGTCCTCCAGAGTTGTACTGTTGATAGTGAAGATGCCGGCGTAGTCCACGTGACTTTACAGATGGTAATATATCATTGGTCCACATGGCAAAAGTCGAACCAATCAAAACCCACCACGCGCAAGGCGATCGAAAGCCACGATTGGTCTGATCCGGAAGTGATAAGTCAACCTTTCAATGCTGTTTTTTGGAGAGAAGAATCCCGAGGAGATTCGAAAGTAAAGTTTGGCGCCAAATTTCATTCCATATGAATGTATAAAATGTACGCCCTCTTTAAGAGCCCTCTATACTCTGAACACTAAAGAGCTTTGATTCTGTGGTATTTTAATGCAGGTAGAATAATCTGCCCTTTGAGCTAAAATGAAATAAATTAATATGCACAGTTAATTACTTTTAAGATTAAAATTTGTGATCAAATCAAGCTTTCATAACATTTTTTAACTAGGCCCAAGTTGAATCTAGATTGAACACTTCATTTGCAGGTATTTTTCCCACTTAGGTAAACCACAGGTACTTGTGGACAGGACCCCCCCCCTCCAATATGCCCCACAAGTCAAAAAATATTTTTATGTATTTTTTTTTCATAAATTATTCTTCTAGTACACATTTACAATGTATTCCATAAGAAAAATCCAAAAAATAACGCAGAATTAACGTTTTACTAAAAAATCATACCCGCGGTATTTTTGACTTGTGGGGCATATTGGAGGGGGGGGGGGGTTCCTGTCCACAAGTACCTGTGAGGTTAACAACAGTGATTTCTGCTCATCAGTGCTTCACTGTCTTTGAAAATTTTCCTGGGATAAATGCATGGTACCAGGTATGTTAAATTGAAAATATAATAGATAAGCTCAATATTTACACCCTTACCCACTATAATTGCTTTAAATCTCAATCATCCTGTTAATTACTATCTTAATTATATTGTAGGTTTCGGAATTCTGAGTGGCTTTTTAGATGAAATATGGAGATAACTATGCACAAAGAACTACCTGTCTTCAACTTTAGCGTTGTATATATCACATGCAGACGCGGATCCATGGTTTTTAAATAAAGGGGCGCCATAAGAATACGAGGGGTTTTGCTACCAACGGGGTCCCTAGCGGTCAAGGACGGTGTCTAATAAGGGTCCGGGGGCGAGGCCCCTGTAAACTCATGCATGAGAATCCGCAATTAGAAATAATTTATTTTGACACGAAACAACTGTAATTTTGATCTGTACAATATCGATAAATGGCATTGAAAACTGTATCTCATACGATTTTTTGCTGATTTAGAGGGGGTGCGCCTGGAGCGCACCCGCCTGAATCCGCGTCTGCATCATATACATGTATAAATGCAGATTCTATAACTATTATCGAATCTGTTATCCATGTTGACCTTTGTAAAGTTCATCCATAATGAACCATATGGGTAAATTTTAACATCGGCCTATATTTTCATCTGTTCATTGCTTTATAAATACATTTAATTCATACAGTTAAAGTCAGACGACACGTTCCTTGAAAATATATGATATATAATTTTTCCCAAGAATTTATCATTGAAATGTTACTACTTAAACATGTTCCCTCACCAAAAATTGAAATACCTTACCAGGAAATTGGGCAAGATACCAGAGGGTGATATTGCTCCTATAATTCTACTATAATCCTTATGGGTAATCTTTTGAATTGCCAAAGTCAATTTTTAGTGTACTTATTTTTAAAATATATTGAATTCAATTTATAAATCACAAGAGAATGACAATTATAAATAATTTTTCAATAATACCAAGAGATACAAAGCATATATTTGAGGAACGTGTCGTCTGACCTTGATTCAACCTATCCATAACCATTTGCCAACAATCACTCAATTAATTTGTAGATCGGACAATGTTGATTATTAAACTCTCTCTTCAGTTCTCTCTCTCTCTCTCAATAAAAACAAATATTTTTGTTAATTTAATTTTTTTTTCAATATGCAGGGGATTGTTTAGAATGTCTGATCTGGCGGAGGGCATGGATTGTATATTTTGACTGACAAACTGAAAAAGATGAAATCTTATTGTGGTGGTTTATTAACTAAATATGAAGTAAATTTTTAACTAAACTAAAACTAAACACTTCAGGCCGGTAAGAACCGAGGAGGGGGTGCTTAATTGTTAAAAATATGCTAACCCCTCCCCAACTGAAATTGCTTTTTATATACTACGGGCCTCCAAGTCATCCAGAATGAGAAAAAAATCAATAAGTAAGTAACAATCCTCTTTAGGCGGATGTAGTTATAATCTCGACACCAGAGTGGTAATGAAATCCTCTTGACAAAATTTATAAATCCCAGGCTTAGTGTGTGTACATATTACACTTGTATATTTTGTAGCTTTGCTGCGATCAAGGATATCCGCTCCTCAGTTAGGAACGATAACTCTTATAATCACTATTTAATTTTTCAAAAAAGACTCAAATAAAGCTTGAAATTAAAAACTTTTTAAGCAACAATTTTCATTTCATGCATCTCAAATATGATTCGAGATTCTTTAAGTCTAATAGAAACAGTCGTGTAAAAAAATGACATTTGTACCCCATAAAAGTAAAAAAAAAAAAAAAAAAAAAAAAAAAAAATCTGTATCATATAACAATTGAAGTATATAGAAGAACTAGAATGTATATTGTACTGTATAACTGTTAAAAAAAGGATACCCCCCCCCCCCCAAAAAAAAAAAAATAACTGCCCAAAAATCGAAAATCTTATTTCGTGCGAGGGAGGGGACATTACTTTAAGTTTTCGTTATATTTTTTGAATGCAAGAATTTAGAAGAGTTCGACCAAACTGCAACAAAATGTGGGGGAGGGGGGTGGGGGTGGGGGGCAGCCTATAAACTAAATTTGTTATATTAAAACTATAGTTTATATATTTTCCAAAAATGCCCCCCGTACTACAAGCATGTGCAAATTATGACGTATTGATAGGAGTCTAACCAGGGTGCCTAAGCTCCCCGACTAGAATTTCTGACACCCAGGGTAGCCAGGTAAGCATGGCATCAAACTCCAAAAGTAGGACGTGTACAGTCCATGAGAACCTTGGCTAAAAGGCCACAACTAGGATCTCAGATGTCCAGGTCCTTTGAAACTTGGAATTTACAATTTTAGACACTATTTTATTTGGACTCTATGGTATTACTTCAAATCAGTTTATGACACATATACATCATTTTTTTTACAAGCTTAAGTCCATTTCAAGACTTGCATTATAGTTGTACCATTTATTGAAAATGTGTAAATAAAATTAATAGGCAATTTTTAAAAACCATCTTAATTCATGTAAATGTTTGGATTCAAACATTTAAGTACATAATGTATTTATAATATATAAAAGAATGGTTGATATCATGGGATGTCTGTTCTGTTGCAGATTAATGTATACTGTACTCACTTGATGATTTGGAAAAAAATATTAAAAATCCTTAATTTGTGTAATATTGTTTACTAATTGTACCTAGTTATTACTTAGACAAATTATTTTTGTTTATATGCTACAGCCCCCCCCCCCCCCCGCGCGCTATGTACTACTTAAAGAATATGATTACTTTCATTATCAGCCTAAGATATATATAGGACCATCACTGTGGTAAATAATGAGCTCAACTGTATATATTATTGTATTTACATGTATCCGTTTATTATACATAATCTACATATATTTTCAGTGTAAAGTTTGACAATTGTAAATTAATTGTTAATATAAATGGATTACATAGGCTGTTGTTGAAATATTGTCACAGTCACAGAAATTATGTTAAAGTTAAGACATATGTTAGGCTTGTATATAGCAGGGGACATCAACTTTTTTGCAAGGTAGAGAGCATGGGACCAATAATTTTTACGAAACCCGTTACCATGAACGCTTATGATTTTTAAAATAAATTTTCCAGCACCGGTCCCATATTTCGATAAATTTTGACTGGTTTCTTACATCTGCCCATTTGATAACATAACGGTCATCAGTAAATGTTCCTGCTAATCTTTGAATTATCTACCTAGTTTAAGCACAGGGGCTAAGTTACTCATAAGGAGTAAAAAAAAAAACTTAATATTTACATCCACTGAATATTATCTCCTTTATTTCTAATAAAGAAATTTCTAAGAAAACCATTGTCGTTTATCAGTCAGTAAACACCACTTACCATATCACCTCTACGGATTTCTGGAATAGTGGCTGTTCCATCAATGAAACGTACAATGACGTAAATATCAATAATGCACTATTTCATCTACATAATCCTACTTTAAATGATTATTTGTACAGACTTAAATATAATCAATAAAATGTCTTTCTTTCTTTGTTAGTACGGGAATTAACGTTGCAGCTATTGCAGAAAAAATTGCCTAGCCCGCTTACTCGGGTTATGCATTTTTTCTGCAACAGCTGCAACATTAATCTGTTAATACCCGTACTATCTTAAGAGGTCATAAACAGTGATAAATGGTGATACCCCCAAAAAGTCTTGTCACAAGGCATAATCATCATACGAAATATGAATACCGATGAAAGTTCAAGTTCCAACAGTTTAGAAGTTATGGCCAAGGTTAAAGTTTTTCAAAAGTAGGTAAAACCCCAAGGTCATGAGGTCAAAATGGTGGTACTTAAAGAAAGCCTTGTCATGTGTGGAGTACACATGTGAAATATGAAAGCCTTAAAACCGATCGTTCAGAATTTATGGCCAAGATTATTTTTTTTTTCAAGAGCAGGTCAAACTCCAAGGTCATGAGGTCAAATATGGTGGTAAAATACACGTACATGAAATATAAAAACTCTAGATAGCGCTAATCGTTCAGACAATTGCACATTGCAAAAAAGAAATAGAATTTGTGAAAATTATAGGCTAAATTTGGAAATATGAAAACTCTAGATAGCGCTAGTCGTTCAGACATTGCACAAAAGAAATAGAATTTGTGAAATTTTATATTCATTAAATTTTGTATTTTAAATATTCGAAAGACAGATCGTCAAAAATATGCAAAATTGCAGATCACACCATTGAATTTTTCGTATAATACATTTATAGTGTGATGGTTACAGGATATTTTATTCTTGAAACTTTCCTGTGAAAATGACTGGTCTTTAGAACGACATAGCTAATCTCTTGATTATAGAATCACGTGACAATAACATCAATCCAGTCAGCCAAAATGGCGACATCGCAGTTTGGCTTTGTTTGTTGTATATCCTTATTATTTTTTACTTGTTGTTCGGCTAACAGTATATTTAGCAGAGTTCTTGACGATATTTCATCATGTACAAAGTCTTGTGCGAATACATACAGCCCTCATACGTTTGAAAGGGTAAAGGTTTGATATATTCTTGGTCATATTTAGGCGAATCTATTTAGGCTAGCACAGAAGGGTACTACTAAACAGAGAACTCTAAAGAACCCCAGAGAACCCTAATGATTTTTAATTATTTATTGTTTGTAAATGAAATATTTATGTTTTAAATAACCAATATATCAAACAAAAACAAAATAAAATTTAAAAAAAAGAATATTTTGCCAACTGTTATGCTTATTTTCAATGGAATACTTAATGTATGAAGACTTCATCATACTTTGTGTTATTTTAATTATTTTTTTTTTCAAATAGTTTACAGAGTTAATGACTAAGAGTTCTACATAACTTACAAAATAAAACTAAATAAAAAATAATGTGAAAAAGAATTGTAAAATTATGTGGTAAAATCTCCTTCATTTAACAACGTATTTGAAATTCAGTCGGGATCGGGATGACATAAAATATTACACTTACGTTTTCAACTTTTTTCGAGTGAAAACATCCATAAAAAAATCATGTTATTGATTTTATAGATAGAATATGATTTATAAAGTAAAAATAAACTCAGTTATGCATAAAATTTATTGGAATTGACCAAATAAACCTTGAGTTCTCTAGGGTTCTCTAGAGTTCTCTGTTTAGTAGGACCGAGCACAGAACTAATATAAGCAGATCCGACACAGCCACAAGCTCTTCATATAGCTTTGTAGCTTGAATTAGCCATTCAGATCTTTATTTAAACTTGATGACATGCAAAACACAAATAAAACCATTTTTAGATATCAAGATCATTATATATATATCATGACTCGCCAAATGAAATGTGCTAGATTTCCTTCAGAACTTCGAAAGATCCTTATATCTTCAAAATAACACTGTTACAACAAGTACAGACAGTGGAGGATCATATCGTTATGAACAAAACAAAAAGTGACATGTCATTAGTTACACTGGCAGTCGATGAAAATATGAACAGTTCTAGAACAGATTAAAATGAAAAACCTTAATATCTAGCTATTTTAGTAGGATATCCTTTCACCCCATTTTTCTTTAACATTTTCTACTGAACAAGTAACCTGGATAAACTGTGGTTATCAAAATGGCTAATGACTGAAATACATTGTACAGAGCTTTTGTTAAATGCAATGGGTAGTTGTGTTTCCTATACCATTGTGTCATAATATAATATTTACATTTCCAGGGTTGGGGTCAATTACTTTGAAATGTAATTAAATACTTTCAAATACATTGATAATTTTGTAACATTTCCAATGTCTTTCTCTGAGATAAATCTACAAATAAGGTAATGGCTTTATAACCCCATAAATCGATTTGCTCAGCACGTGACAGAACTGCATGCTTTTTTGCTGCGTGTTGCTTAGTAATACACTTGGTGGGGATGCTGAGATTTCTTATTATTGATTTTTTTTAATTGAATCAAGGATCTTGTAAAAATGTAAATATAAGGAATAACTGTCTGGTTTTTTGGTTTTATGATGACGATCAATCAATTTGCTCGCGTGATAATTTTACGCATAAACGCCTTCGGCGTTTATTCAAATTATCACGCGAGCAAATTGATTGATCACATCATAAAACCAAAAAACTAGACAGTTATTCCTTAAATAAATATATATTATTTTGTAGAGTTATTTAATGGATCCATGTAAAAGAGGATGTCGTTTCTATTCCATCATGGAATTTGTGTATTGTAACCACCACAGTCAGAATCTCACAAAGCAAGGATGTGTGGCATGTATGTTATTAAATTTATCAATTTTTGAAAACTTTAATTTCCATTACTTTTATTAGCCTTTTCATTGCGAGTCAGTTTATGTGAAAACTTCTTGATATAGTGTAGATTCAAATTTGTTCAAATCATGTCCCCCGGGGTGGGGTGGGTACACTGTGGGCGAACTGAGTTTTACAAAGGAATACATAGAAAAATCTTTTTCCATGAACAGCAAAGTCATGATTAGTTCTATTTATAAGAAGTATCTTCAGATAATTTAGATTTAAGTTCATTCAAATCATGATCCCCAGGGATAGGATGGGGCTACAATGGGTGATCAAATTTTACATGAGAATATATATAGGACAACGAAAGAATCTGTTGATGAACAAGAAGGGCCACAGTTACTCAGGTGAGCATTGTGGCCCATGGGCCTCTTGTTGTAGCTAAAAATCAAGAAATAACATCAATTCAGTATATACAACTGTCACAGAAATAAAACATGATTTTAAGTGATTTACAGTAAATAAACATTCATAAAATTTACAGTAATGTGTTACATAAGATAATTGTCAATGTAAGAGATATATATGTGTGATCATGTGATTATTTGACAGCATGTGAAGAGGCATATAATAAAAGTGAGGAGTTGGATGCTTGTTCATTTGGTTGCAAGAGCCAGGTGCCCCATGTTCTAGAAAGTCAGGGTCAGGTAATGTTCTTCTCTTACAAATTGTTTGTCTACGTCTTTTCTCTGGATATATCTTTTTTTTTCCTTAAAGAGATTTTTTGCATTTATCAAAATGATTTATTTTAGACACATTCAGTGCACAAAATTTCAGATACAGAATACACAGTTCTTTGTTCAGAATACATCATTTTTAGCTCACCTGAGCTGAAAGCTCAAGTGAGCTTTTCTGATCACCCGTTGTCCGTCGTCTGTCCGTCTGTCTGTAAACTTTTCACATTTTCAACTTCTTCTCAAGAACCACTGGGTTAATTTTAAACAAACTTGGTACATAGCATCCTTGGGTGAAGGGGAGTTTAAATTGTTAAAATGAAGGGCCAAGTCCCCTTCAAAGGGGAGATAATCAAGAAAATACAAAAATTGGGTGGGGTCATTAAAAAATCTTCTTCTCAAGAACCACTGGGCCAGAAAAGCTGAAACTTATGTGGAAGCATCCTGGGATAGTGTAAATTCTAAATTGTTCAAATCATGACCCCTGGGGGTAGGGCGGGGCCACAATAGGGAATCCAAGTTTTACATTGAAATATATAGTAAAAATCTTTAAAAATCTTCTTCTCAAGAACCACTGGGCCAGAAAAGCTGATACTTATGTGGAAGCATTCTGGGGTAGTGCAGATTCTAAATTGTTCAAATCATGACCCCCGGGGGTAGGGCGGAGTTACAATAGGGAATCCAAATTTTACATTGAAATATGCAGAAAAAATCTTCTTCTCAAGAACCACTGGGCCAGAAAGGCTGAAACTTATAAGGAAGCATCCTTAGTGTAGTGTAGGGGTAGTGTAGATTCTAACTGAACAAATCATGACCCCTGGGGGTAGGGCGGGGCCACAATAAGTACTACAAAGGGGGGGGGGGGAATCAGGTGAAAAACAGCAAGGCCAAAGTTAATGAGGTGAGCGTTGTGGCCCATGGGCTTCTTGTTTCTGAATTCCAGGGCTTGTCAATTTTCTCACTTTTTTGTTTTCAAAGAAAACTTAGACAATGAATTTCCATAATTTTGATTAATGAACTTTTCCAAATCAAAGTACATATCACTGACCCTATGTTTTTTACAGGATGACTTGATGGATGTGATGTACCCCCTAATGTATGTACACAGTATTTACTCTAACATGTTAGACAAGATGTACTCTGGTATGTCAGCCAGCTGGTCATTTTATGCCAATAAACAGAGAGTCATTATTGTTAAGTCACAGCCACAGTTCTTTGCTCAGATTGACAACACAGACACAGATGATGGTAAGACAACTTTGATTTAGTACTGTAACGTTATAGGTCTTCTGAGTATACTTTGGTAGATGATATACTGTTCCATCCATAAAAATTTCAAATCTTATGGAAGGAAGGAAAGATATGTGATCCATATCAGTGTATTACTAGATTGTTTTGGAATTATTCTGTTTTGTAGAGTACAACACAGCTAATTACTTTGAGACTAATCTGGATTCTGTAGATGGTTCAGCTACTCCAGTCTTGAAGAACTCGCAGATTCTGGGCTTTGGAGACTCTGTAGAATTATCCCAGTCTCAGGAGGAGAAGAAGTCCACTGATTGGCTGTCATGTGTGTCGAAGAGGACCGGGATGCCGCGGCTAATTCTCAGTCTCATTCTGTTGTCCTGCGCAGTGATGATGATCTGGCTCTGTCTGACAGCAGCAGTTACTTCCCCTGAACACAGAGTTAAGCAAAACTACAAGGTACTTATTTAATCAGTGGGTCATAGCTGCAGTCACTGTGTAATCTGTTTTAAATAATTAAATCCCTTTCAGGGTCTTTAATGAAGATTGACAGTTTTTAATGATTTAATGTACTTTGTAAGTTAAATTGTACACAGACTATTATCATATCACACTAGAGCAATACATTCAAAATAACAGAATTACTACTATTTAGTACAAATAATACAGAGAATCTGATCAGCAAAATGACAGGCTACTGAATGACTCAGGTGAGCATTATGACCAATGGGCCTTTGTATTTATTTATTTTTCAGAAGCTAAGCATAAATGGTGATCTAGAGTATCTGAGAGAACAAGAAGCAATGGGGGTGAGGCTGCTGTTTCCACAGGAAAAACTGGAGACTGATCAGCTTCCTATCAAAATCAAAGTCCAGAGACTGTAGATAAGGCACAGTGAATTCACATCAAAGGTTTAGGCACCAAGTGTCCATATTCAGACATTGTGTTTAATTTAATATGCTCTCAGCTTGATTAAACTTTCAGACCACATATGAAACTGTGATATTCATAAATTGAAAATCTATGAAATCCAGAAAAAAAACTTTTAATGAAATTCATGCTGGTGAAATTTTTATTTTACAAAATGTAAATGATTAACAAGTAATGAACAGCGTGCTAGAACATATTGCTTTCTTTTTGTTGTAATTGTGTATCGGAGTTTGTTACTTCTCTCACACTACCATTGTGTAATTGTGATTTTGTTTACACAGGATAATTATTTACAGAAAGAAAGTAGATCTTCTGTGTTTTCTGTACTTCTCCACTGAGGGTAAATGTGTACAAAAGTATAAACTCATATACTACAGGCGAATCCGTGATTTTAAGTAAGGGCATCTATGTGTAGTATGACTGCTGTGTTAATTTGTAATTAATGAAAAAGTTTAGTTCAATTTTTTTTTAATCTTCCATTGTACATTCCCTGATTATTTTTTCCTTTCAATACATTTGATAATTGTAGATGATTAAGTTTAAGAAGAAGTTTTTCAGGTCATTTTCTGTGGTCATATGTTACTTTTCGATTTTGGGAAATAGTTCTTAAGTGATAAAAACACTAGAAGTGTTTAATTTGTATCATAGATAAAAATTGATTTTGACACAAAAATGACCTTTAAAGCCAAAATTTATTTTGTATACACTAAGAAAAAATACATCTTATTGGAGGAAGCTTGTGTATTTCATCATAGTTCATTGATAGGCAGTTGTATACTGTAGTTCCATATATCAGCATATACATTGATGTAAATATTGGCGACAATATCTGGCCCAGTATTAAAGTGGAAATCAGCTTTCTATATATACTGAATTGCATTTCTTTTCTGTCAATAAATCCCCATCCCAATTTTGATTTTGCATTGCCTGTAATGAACTCGTATAAAGCATTTTTGCTAAATGTATACAAATTTTATGCACTTGTATGTGTATGAGATAATTAATACCGGGTCAGATATATTGAATTATCAACAATACATGGTGTTTATGGAGAAACACTCACAAGTTCTACCATGTGTGGGAAAAAACGGGCTAATTCAAAATATATGTGTAATGCTGGGAGATCGACACTTGTAAATTATGTACAGCTTTGTAATAAAATAATTGTGTGCTTCATTAGCTTGCTGGCAAACTTCCCTATAGCAGTTTTACATCCATGGGTGAAACAGAGTGTAATCTAGTAAATAAAGAAAGGAGACTTTAATTTTCATTTTACGTGTATCTCTAAGTTGTCAAAGGCAGTTTAAATACTGTATTTATAAATATTTTCATGGGGTTAAAAATTTTTTTTGGTTTTATATCCAAGAGTCCAAGAGTTATTTCTTGGGAATTAAATTTAAGGTTTTCAGACTGCTAATTAGTAAACATAAATACTGTTTTGTAAAATTCCTTGATAAAATTTCTTCATGTATTTGATTTCATTGAAAAATTGTATCCACAAAATAATTGAAATAGAATCCCTTACCAATATTCTTTTACAGTGTTGTACAAAGAATGAAATGTAATCCTCAATTCTTAATCCTGATGTTTATGTATTAGCAAAGGAGAAAAATGCAAGACCAGACCAGGATTCGAATCCAGGCCCCAAAACAATTAGTCAGATGCTCTACCAACTGAGCTACCTGGCCACCGGCAATGAAACCTGCCTGACCGCCCCATCTAGTTTTCACATGATCTCTTGTTGGGTGGGAAGTTTGCTATTTTATTTAATTTTATCTTGTTATCTTTGATTTCTGAATGATCAGATGCTTTCAGTGATAATGCATGCCTTGTATGAAGATTGTGATGACTGGTAAATCATTGAAGTACATCAGACATTGACTCTACAACTTACTGTTTCTGTGGACATCTCTATTTGTCAGTCTGGGAAAAGGTGCATTGTTGTTTTTGATAACTGTGATTTTGTTCTCATTAATTTTAGAATGTAAATTAACTATCACTAGTGATCTGGTGTTTTAAATTTTCAATAGCTTCAAATAAAAGTACATGTATGTTTAAATATGCTGTTTATGTAATAAATACAGTACATCATATAAGAGGTCTGTGCATGATACCTTATAGTACTGGTATATTACAAACAAAAATTTTTCTCCTCCTTGTGTGATACAGATGTAATTTGATTTTGATGTACCGTCAAGGATTAAATCATTATTATATCATTTTGTTGTCAGTAGCTGGTAGAGGTTCAGCTCTGATTTCAGAATTGGTTATTTTTTTAATTTCCAGACAAAATATTTTATGCCCCATTTTGAAAATTGTGAAATCTTAAACTTCAGTGAAAAAAAGACTGTCTTCAGTAAAAGTACAGGCAATAATTTAATAGATACATTTAATAAAGTCAGAAGTTATTTACACATTTAAATATGCATTATTTATTTAAAATGAATATTAGGACATTATTTTAGTATTTTTTCTGTGTATGATTGTATATTTTGGGTCAACAATAAAAACATGATACAGCATATTAGTTTCTTCATTTTGATCGGTCACCCGCGTGGTGCAGTGGTTAGAGCATCTGCTCTAGAGTCACGAAGTAAGGAGTTGATCCTTACGTCGAATCCCACTGTGGGATGTGGAGACCGGTCCTTCAGATGAGACCGTAGAAACTGAGGTCCTGTGTCGCAGTGGGTGCTGGCACGAAAAAGATCCCTCACTGCTCAATGGCCATAAGTGCCGAGTATAGGACAAAATTTGCAGCTTTCCACTGGCAAGTGGTGGCGTCTCCATATGAGTGAAAAATTCTCGAGAGGGACGTTAAACAAAATACAATCAATCAATCAATCATTTTGATTGTCAGAAAAAAATATGACAAACAAGAAGATACAAATTATAAGGAACAAGAAGTCTGTGAACAAATGCTCACTAGTAATACCTCAATCCGCACTGATGTGAATATACACTCTGATGTTGACATCAGATTCTAACAAAAATGAATTCCATCATATGGCATGCCTGAACAAAGAGTGTGCTGAAATTTCAATCATCTGGGATAAGTAGTTGTTGAGAAAACTGCGACGAAAATTGTTACGGACAGATGCACGGATAAACAGGAAGTTGACATTGGATTTGAACAAAAATGAATCCCACCATATGGCATGCCTAAACAAAGATTGTGCTAAAATTTCAAGCATCTGTGACGAGTAGTTGTTGAGAAAACTGTGACAAAAATTTGTTACAGACAGATGCACGGATAAACAGGAAGTTGACATCGGATTCGAACAAAAATGAATCCAACCATATGGCATGCATAAACAAAGAGTCTGTTAAAATTTCAATGATCTATGATGAGTAGTTGCTGAGAAAACTGTGATGAACATTTGTTACGGACAGACACATGGACACACATACAGACAGACAAGGGTAAAACAGTATACCCCCCTCTCCTTCCGAGCGGAGGTATAAATATACATGGAGGATTAATATAATTTCACATGTAATGATTCTAGTGGTTCAGAATTGAGGAAAAATAATAGATTTAATTAATGTAATTAATAATGAAATGCAGTAATATCTCTTGAAAAATTGGGATTAAACTCTTTAATTGCAGTTTGTATATTTCACTTCATTTTATTTCAAGATTTTAAAATGTATGTAAGAATGGAGAATCATTGGAAGCCCATATGTGGTACATAGATTGCTTATGACTGGATGGTGTCTTGACCTTGACCCAAGGTCATTCCATCAAATTTAAGGTCACTGGAAAAAGCATAAATTTTTTGTTTGGGCTATAATTTTGTAACCCAAGGTCATTCTGGCTAGTTCAAGTTCACTGGCAGAAAAAAGAATAAAATTCTTGTAAAGACCATAACTTTGTAATGGAGAATTATTAGAAGCTCTTACTTGGTACAGAGATTGTTCAAGAGCAGAGGGTGTGTGATGACTAGCTAGGGCTGCACAATAATATCGATATTACAGTATATTGCGATTCATTAATTAACAAAAAAATATTGTATTGCGATATGTTTTTGCAGTACCGATATACCGGCCAACTGTTGGGCTATAGATTTTCAAGTAAAATATAAAATTTAATATGCCAGAAACGTTTCCAATCGTGCCAAACAGTACCAAACGGTAAAGTTCCTGTTGTATGGTTGCATTTCGTTCCGAAACTGAAGTGAAACCTAAAAAAAAATTGGAACAATGTACTTATAATAGTTTTACACATGTTGCTTATAGATGGAGGTTAATAAAATAAGAAAAAGCGCATTTTAACCGTCATTGAAAATATTGCAATACAGTTAAAAATATCGCAATATGAAATTTCCAGCCAATACCCATCCCTATCATGACCTTAACCGAAGGTCATTCCAGCAAGTTCAAGGTCAAACGTAGAAAAAGTATAAAATTCTTGTCAGGGCTTTAACTTTGTAAAGGAGAATCACTGGAATCTCATACATGGTACAAAGATTGTTTATGACCAGAGGTTGTGGTATGACCTTGACACAAGGTCATTCTAGCAAGTTCAAGGTCACTAGCAGAAAAATATAGAATTCTTGTCTGGGCTGTAACTTTGTAATAGAGAACCAGTTGGAGTTTGTACTGGGTACAAAAATTGTTTATGATCTGAGGGTGTGTCATCACCTTGACACACAGTCTTTCTGGCAAGTTCAAGGTCACTGGAAGAAAAAGAATAAAATTTTGTCCAGACTATAACTTTGTAATGGAGAATCAATGGAAGCTCATACTAGGTTCAAATACTGTGTATGAGGGTTTGTCATTACCTTGACCAAAGCTCATTGTGGCAAATTCAAGGTCACCATTATCAAAAGTATAGAATTTATGACAGGTCTCTAATTTTTATGCCCCACTATGAATATGGTCAGGGCATATAGAGTTTGTCATGTCTTCGATCCTTCCGAGTAAAAGTTTTTGGAGCAAGTTCATTCTCAAGTAACTATAAGCCCTACATGCACCAAACTTGCATGGATGATGCTTGTAGGGATAAAAACTTCCAGACTTGCTTCGGATGCAGATCTGACCTAGATTTTCCAGATGAGTGACCAGGTTTAAGTTTTTGGAGCAGGTCCATTCATAGGTAGCTATAATCCTATAATGGTGACTAAACTTATATGCATGCTGTATCCATGGATGCAAACTATGACTTTTTTCAGATGCTGGAAAAGATCTACATTTTTCAGATGATTGACCAGGTTAAAGATTGCAACTGGGAATGCACACTACCAGACTTGCTTCGGATGCTGGATATGACCTAAATTTGCAAGATGAATGACCAAATTTAAGTTTTTGGAGCAGGTCCATTCCCAGGTAGCTATAAGCCCCATGTTGACTAAACATATATGGATGCTGAGTCTATGGATGCACATTACCAGGCATGCTTTGGATGCTGGATCTGACCATTTTCCTGTTGTCACAGAGACCAAGTTAAAGTTTTTGGAGCAGGTCCATTCAAGAGAAGCTTTAATCCCTATGTTGCCTAAACACTTACATTGATGATGCATCTATGAGATGATTGACCAGTTTTTAATTTTTTTTAAAGGGATGCACAATACCAGTCTTGCTTCAGATGCTGGATGCAATGACGATTGAATAAGTTAAAGTTTTGAAGCAGGTCCATTCCTACATGTAAGTTACTACAGGCTCTATGGTGCCTGAATTTGCACAAATGCTGTATTACGGATGCTCATTACCAGGCTGCATCTGACCTTCATTTCCAGATGAGTGACAGAGTTTGTTTTTGGAGCAGGTTCATTCCAAAGTAACTACCAATTAGCCTACCTTGACCAATCTTGAATGAATGATGCATCTTGGGACACCAGACTTGCTTCAGATGCAAGGCCTTTGTTTTTATACTTAATTTGACTACAGACTACTTTGTCAACTTATCAACATATAGGGCTCATAGCAGGTGTGGCTGGTCAACAGGGGATGCTTACTCCTCCTAAGCACCTGATCCCCCTATGAAATTTCTGGGGATCTGTGATTTATGCCCTGTTCACAGATTTGTATTGTTTTAGATTTTTTGAGATCGATCACTGTTTGTTATCTTCACTTTTTTCATGCAGTACCTTCTTGGGTGTTATTCTGACCTACATTTTTCAGGTGATTAAAAATTTTTGGAGCTGGTTCTTGCCTAAAAACAATAAATTCTACACTGTCCAAACTTGCATAGATATTCATCTTGATATGCATACTAGCAGAACATTATTTGACGTGACACTTTGCCTTCACTTCTAGATAACATTCAATGAGTAGAGCTTTGAAATCTTTGATGACCATGTTTTTTGAAATAGTCAAACATGAAGGCTTTCTATCAGGTCAACAGCATACTTACAGGTCAAATGAAAGTTAATGGCTACTGGTGGTGGGGGTGGTGGGGAAGGGGGGGCATAATCATGAATATATAAAATGTTGAACACAGAGTCACTTGTTACTGTAGCCAATTTAATTATTGCTACAATAAATCAGAGGACCTTGATTGTTTTAAGTATGTCACTATTTAGTGCTGTTTAAGGTTCAAAATGCATGTCTAATGATCTAAAATGAATTCTAATGATCTAAAATGAATTTTACCTGTTAACAAAATGAAATAGGGAAACTGCTCAACCAGACATGCAGTGTGTAGACCTATCCACTTTGACAGTTACTTATTATTTTGTAATTGTTAAAACCCCTTCATGTCTTTCATAAGAAATGACCACTCTCAGGAAATTGAGTTTATCAAACACATCTTGTCAAAAATGTTTTTATTGTACAAAAATAGAAGACATAATTCAAGCACCTTTATATCACTGCTGCAATTCTCATAAATATACTGTAATCCATCAGACCATTGCTGTCATTTTCACTTCATAAATAATGATATTTAATGGATACAACATATGCCTCATACAGTTCTATGTGAAAAAAATATCAAACTGATACCTGTTAAAGCCAGTCTGATAATATCTCATTTAGAAAAGCATGTGGCATGTACACTGTACATTTATCTCACCTAGAACATTACCATTTTAAATGTCAAAAGTTAACAAGAAGAGTCCAATAAGTAAACAATAGAAAAACTTGCTGCAGTCTGATAATCAATTGTCAGACTACTTTGTTTTACTATTACTGGACTCCTACGGGTGAATTTTTAAAATCTGGAACTAGAGAATTTATGACAAATATTGAATTGATGATACATGTGAATTAAGTGTGTCTCTATGCTAACTGAGGGGCTTTTTAGCTAATTCTTTGAATTTTTCAAACACTGTGTACAAGCTTTTATTCTCTGGCGTCTGACCGAATTCTGCCTTCAGTGACTGATATCTTACGCTCTGGTCCTCCATGGATGTCTGACTTCGCTTCTCTTCAGCCACAGCCGTCACCTCCTGGAAATCAGGAACAAAATGCTACACTAGGAACTGTATACCAAAGTCTCTTCCTAGATACATGTACCCGTTTCTTTTAGTTTCTTTTAGCAACATAATTATTTATACTTTCTGCAAACAAATGGATGCTCATT